TTCCCAAACCTTCCCTTCCCTTCCCAAACCTTCCCTTCCCAAACCTTCCCAAACCTTCCCAACCCTTTCCTTCCCAAACCTTCCCAAACCTTCCATTCCCAAACCTTCCCTTCCCAAACCTTCTCTTCCCAAACCTTCTCTTCCCAAGCTATCACTGACTTTTCCTTTGCCTTTGCCTTTGTCTTTTCCCCTTTTTTTCCTTTTCCTTTTTTCTTCTTTTTCCTTTTCCTTTTTCTTCTTTTTCATTTTCGTTTTCCTTTGCTGTTTCATTTGCCTTTTCCTTTTCCTTTTTTCCTTATTTTCCTTTTTCTTTTTTCCTTATTTTCCTTTTCCTTTTTTCTTCTCTTTCCTTTTCCTTTTTTCTTCTTGTTCCTTTTCCTTTTTTTCTTTTTCCTTTTCCTTTGCCTCTTCTTTTTCCTTTTCCTTTTCCCCTTATTTTCCTTTTACTTTTTTCTTCTTTATTCTTTTCCTTTTTTCTACTTTTTCCTTTTCCTTTTCCCCTTATTTTCCTTTTTCTTTTTTCTTCTTTATTCTTTTCCTTTTTTCTACTTTTTCCTTTTCCTTTGCCTTTTCATTTTCCTTTTCTTTCCCTTTCCCTTTCCTTTTTCCCTTTCTCTTTCTCTTTCCCTTTCCCTTTCCCTTTCCCTTTCCCTTTCCCTTTCTCTTTCCCTTTCCCTTTCCCTTTCCCTTTCCCTTTCCCTTTCCTTTTCCCTTTCCCTTTCCCTTTTTCTTTCCTCTGCTCTCCTTTTTTCACTTTCCTCACAAATCACTCCTTTCAATCCCCTTTTTTTGGTCCCCCACCCCTGCCTTTTCTCTGAGTTTTATGGTGATGTCAGAGACCTCTCTGGTGTGGGTGATAATCATGCTTTACAAGTGCTCCCCAACGAGCCTCTGGTTCTTAATTAAGCCATTATTGTTTCTAGCTGGTTGACCTGGGCTCTGGAGATCACTGTTTTGCAGAAATCTCCAGCCTCTTCACCAGTGTGATACTTCCTCTTTATCCACCCCCTTTCATCTGAACACTGGAAGACAAGCTGAGTTTTGTCTGTTCATTTGGCAGATGGTTAGATTCAGATCTTACAGGAACATAGTGCTAGAAATGGAGCGTGTGTGCATGTCTGTGTTTGTGTGTGGTGGAGAAAAATCCCAGATCATTTTCTTCCTCTGTGGCCTTACAACTGCTAGCAGTTTCACACAATCTCTTGTAGGTAGCAGGAATAAAAATCTGCCTTCCCCCTTCTCTTTTTAATTTCTCCCCCAGGTCTGTGCTGCATATACCAGCAGTGTGGTCTAGGCCAATGCTGAACATTTGTGCCTTGGACAATAGCACAGCCTGGCCTGACTATTATCAGCTGCTGTTTTCTGGTTAGCTTTCCTTTTATTCAAGTGCACAATGCAAGCCTTTATCACCCTTCAGTCACAGTGACTCTTGAGGAATACATCTGGTTTTCTCTTTCAGCAGCTCTGAAAAGGTCAGTCTGTTCATTTCTTATTCGCAGGACACCACATTTTTTTCTGAGCTGGAAAGACAGGCCTACACCTTTTCATTCCGTCTCGTACATAATTAGACATGGTGTCGCTCTAGAAACCTACCCTTGAAATCCTCCTGAGTAACTCTTTCAGAGACAGAGGAGACACAGCAAGGGAGCAAGCAAGTGGGGGGACCACTTCCATCCAGTCTTAAATCTCTTTGTGTGGTCACAAAAGCCCTTCCCCAGCACTGCCAGCCTGGCTTTTTCCTCTTCTTCTTCTTCTTCTCCCTCTCTTTTTCTTTCCCTCACCCCCTCTTTCCCTTCCTAATGCTGGCAATCGTTTTATGAACACACTGTGCATGGTAGAGGCTCTCACAGAAAAAAAGTCCTCGGATTATTTGAGCAAGAAAGGTTGCAATCACTTTCTCTTCTGCGGCATCCTACATTCTTCAGGCAGGCTGTAACACAATAACAAGTGCGCCCAAGAGGACAGAGCTTGTAGCAGCTGGTGTCTGACAAATTATCTCACTGCAGACAGGCAAATGGCAACTTGAGCTCCAGCCATCCAAAGGATGTGTGTTTTGGTTTCTCTCTCCATGCTGGGTAGGTTGGGCCAAATCTTCTTGGGGTGGAAATGATTGCCATGTCCTTGGAGCCAGAGGGTTTCACCTCTGCAGGAGATCATTTTCCCTTCCCAGATGCTGTTTGTGCAATTCAGTGAGAGAAGTATCAGGCAAGGCTGTCACAACTGGCTGGGCGATGGCAGCTTCTGCTGCCTCTGTGCTCAGAAGCAAAACAGTCTGAGAACTTGGACAGCCCCGCACTTCTCCTGAGGAGTGACTGCCAATATCACCTGATTTTCTTTGTGCCCATGCTATTTTTACATGTATTCATGGTGATGTGGTTGCAATCCATCAGTGCAGCTTCCCCAGGATGAAATCCTCTTCTTTTTTGTCCTTTGCAAACATCACAGGAGTTGTGTACTTAGCACAGGGCTTTTTCCCGAGCAGGGGCAATCCTGACAAGTTGAAATCTCACAACAGTAAGTATGAATCTCTAGAAATCACAGTCACCAGTTTTTGGGTTCTTTTGCTGTTAGAAATTTCTGCCTCCAAGCCGGATGTAGATATGCCTCATGTCCAAAGCACCACCAGTTTACTGTAGTGCTCAATGGAAGCTGGCAGAGCAGAAGGGGGGAAATGCACACTGGGAGGGAAGCATCAAAGTGCATGGTGCAGGTGAGTGCAGAGACATCCCATTTCTACCCTAGCAATTCCAGGGAGCTGGACTCCTAAGTCCTTTCCTGCCCAGCTCAGCCCAGACAGATTGCCTTGTCCAAAGGAGTTCACAGCACAGTGAAAGGCGAAAAATAAGCTTAAAAGAGGAAAATTAATTTGTTACCACACCACACTACTCCATGAGCTAGTTGTGAGACTAGGACAAGAACCTTCTCCTTCTGCATCTATTTATTGAGTCACTGGACCACATATTCTCTAATGGACAGTCCCCCTAGTTAGCTTTGCATAGAGGACTTGATGTACTATTCCAGTATGGCATCTGTGTTTAAATATACACCTTTCTTATTTAAGTGAGTTTTGGGTTTTAAAACAAGGGATGGGATAAAGACAGAGGGGAATTTAGCTTCTGGTATTAAATGTCTGATTGGTTTAGAGCTATACATATTTTATGTATATATATTTAAAATTAAAGCCTTCTGAGACTTTTCATGATTTACAGTCCTTTAGCAGTGAATAATGGCTTTAGGACACAGAAGGAACATTTGAAATCTTTATTAAATTTTCTATATGATAGCTTCTCCTACTAACACAGTCAGACTTTGGGGTTTATCACAGTTTCTATCTATTTTCAGGGATTTAGAACAATGAGGTCTTAAAACCTGCCCACAGCTAAAATATATTTTTGGTCTTATCACACCAGGCTTACAGTAAATTGGAATAGAAATTAGAAAAGTGCAAGAGCAGTTATGTCACTTCTGGTTACCTCTTGTAGAATGTCATAAAAGTTCAGAGTCTTGGCCTGCTGTAAAAGATAATGTTCCTTTCATCTCAGCATTGTATATCTGACAATTTATGTTTTTTTCATGATGCTGAATTATCACTGCCTGCACATGAGAAACCACAACATGAAAAAAAGACCTGGAAAGCAAGTAATCACCCTCACCATGCCCTTCTGTCCTGAGTAAGGATGGAAGGTAGGTCTTCCTTGAAAAGA